AGGTCTCTGTTGCCTAGGCTAGAGTGCAGTGGTGTGATCTTGGCTGACTGCAGCCTTGACCTTCTGGGCTCAAGAGATCCTTCCACCTTAGCCTCCCCAGTAGCTGGGACTATAGGCACATATCACTATACCTGGCTAATTTTTTTGTAGAGAGGAGGTCTCACTATATTGTCCAGGCCGTTTTCTATATTTAGTTGTGTTTACATACACAAATAGTTACTATTGTGTTCCAACTGCCTATAGTATTCAGTACAGGAACATGCTGCTGTACAGGTTTGTAGCCTAGGAGCAATAGGTTCTACCATCTAACCTAGGTGTATAGTAGGCTGTACCATCTAGGTTTGTGTAAGTACACTCTATGTTGTTTACATGATGGGGAAGTTGCCTAATGATGCATTTCTCAGAATGTATCCCTTTTCCTATAAATGGAATCTCATGTGATCTTTTGTGTCTCATCTCTTTCAGTTAGCATAATGTTTTAGTTTTTTTTTATTAAAACATTTTCGTGGGTACATAGTAGGTGTGTATATTTATGGGGGTATGTGGCATGTTTTGATACTGGCATGATGCATAATAATCACATCATGGTGAATGGGATATCCATCCCCCCAAGCATTCATTTTTTGTTATCAACAATCCAATTACATTCTTTAAGTTATTTAAAATATACAATTAAGTTATGATTGACTATAGTCACCCTATTGTGCTATCAAATAGGTCTTATTCTTTCTAACTAGTTTTTTGTACCCATTAACCATCCCCACCTCAGCCCTACTGTCTCCCTGCCACTACCTCTCACAGCCTCTAGTAACCTTCCTTCTACTCTCTGTGTCCATGAGTTCAATTGTTTTGATTTTTATATCCCACAAATAAGGGAGAACATGTGATGTCTTTCTGTGACTGGCTTATTTCATGGAGCGTAATGATCTCCAATTCTATCCAATGTTGTTACAAATGATTGGATCTCATTATTTTTTTATGGCTGAATAGTACTCCATTGTGTATATGTACCACATTTTCTTTATTCATCTGTTGATGGACACGTAGGTTGCCTCCAAATCTCAGGTATTGTAAACAGTGCTGCAACAAACATAGGAGTGCAGATGTTTCTTTGATATACTGATGTCCTTTCTTTTAGGTGTATACCCAGCAGTGGGATTGCTGGGTCATATGGTAGCCCTAATTGTAGTTTTCTGAGGAACCTCCAAACTGTTCTCCATAGTGGTTGTACTAATTTACGTTCCCACCAACAGTTAGCATAATGTTTTAAAGGCTCATTCATGTTGTATGTACCAGAACTTCATTCCTTTTTATGGCTGAATAATTCCATTGTATCAGTATATCCCATTTTATTTATCTGTTCGTCAGTTGATAGGCATATGGGGTTCTTCCACTTTTGGAGTATTAAGAATAATACTTACTTAAATATTTGTGTACCAGTTTTTATGTGCACATATATTTTTATTTCTCTTGAATACATACCTAGGAGTGGAATTGCCATATCAAACTGTATTGGGAGCTGAAAGTATTCAAATTTCAATCTCAGTAAGGTCTAACATTTCAAGTACAGCTGAGTCTTGCAATTATGTAACATGTAAAGTGGAATGATTGCCTGATTTCAATGGATACAGGTAAATCAACAATGAAGAAAGAAAGATTATTGGATAAGTTTCTCAAAAAGCAACTAGGAGTTCTTAAATCTCACCAGAAATTCTTTCCCAAGATGTCTGTCTTATCTCTGTGTGATGGGATCATTGGTATTAGTTTTCTTCTTTTTGGTCAGTTTTCTTTTACTTTTCTGTTTGAAATTTCTATTTGAAATCTGCCAAATTTGTTCAAAGTATTGAAATTAGTCTTTTAAATTTTTGGTAAAATTTTGCAGATTTTGATAAAAATGAAGCAGAAATTAATTTATATGATTTGCATCTGTCATGAGCATTATGTTATTGCTTCTTTTGCCCTATTGTAATTTACATATTTTAAAAAAAGTGATTCATGTGTTGCTTTTAGTCCCATGATTCATAATTGCTTTGAGGAATAAATATGTTTGTGGTTATATAGAAGAGATTGCTGAAAATTGTGATTTATTTGTATATAAATGTAAAAGCTACTCTAGCTGAGTAATTAATGGATTATTTAAACAATGGCACTTGACAGGTTCTGTGGCCAAGAACTTCTTCACCAAATCAAAGCTTTCCATTCCAGAACTCTCCTATATATGGTAAGTACAATTAATGCCATATGACATTAATACCATCATACATAACCCATCCTTCAGTTGCTACCTTTGCATTTTAAAAAGTCTTATATTTTGAATGATGTTTTAAACAGACTATGAGAGTGAATACAACTCAGATTTTTGTTCCTGTGAAAATTAAATATTATCATATGAAAAGTACAATGAACAATATCTGGCACATACTAAGCACTGTAAGTGTTAACTATTATTTTAGAGTAATTTCCTAATTATTATCCCCATCTTAATCCCTTTTCAGTCTAGGCAATTGTGGGCACATGAGAGTTATCATCTTGAAGATTTCATTTTCAGACTTTTCTACTATGTGTGATGAAGTAACCAGAGGACCTTGACAAGCTATATGTTTTATATTTTATAAGGCCAAGTGAACAGAAGGTTGAGGAATATTTTGGAGTTAGGTTAGATTTGATTATTCTAGCTGCCTCTGAGCTTTGCAAATTTGACTGGTGTTTATCAGCTGGGCCCTAATTCAAACTTGCAGCTGTGGTATCCACTGTACCTTTATGTGCTCTGGCTCCAGAAGGGCTGTGCTGGGATGGTCCAGATGGCTCTATTTGCATTCATGAAAATGCTCGGTGCTGCTGTAAACTCTCGGCTGTGTGTGGGCTAGTTCTTCCCCCAAACTGGGCAGGAGATCACACTGCTATTTAAAAACATTGGAATGTTTATATAAAGCTTTTTGCATGAGGATTTATAGAATTATGATAGGATTTAAAATTGCTTGTCATGTTTTGTGCATCTTATTGGAAAACTACTCCAATAATATTCGTGCATGCCAATGTATCTGTTATTCTGAGCTGGATTTAGGTTCTTCAGCAGTATATACTCTGGCATAATATTTTGTTTTTACAAGCCTTATATTAGGTTTTTTTTGGAGATGAGGGCTCACTCTGTCACCTAGACTGGAGTGCAATGACACAATTATAGCTCATTACAGCCTCTGACTCCTAAGCTCAAGCAATCCTCCTACCTCAGCCTCCCAGCTAACTTTTTTTTTTACATGTCAATTATTTGATTTTTTAACATCTCAATTATTTGATTTTTTTACATGTAAATTATTTGATTTTTTAACATGTAAATTATTTGAATTTTTTGACATGTCAATTATTTTATTTTAAAAAATTTATTGTACTTTAGGTTCTGGGGTACAGTGCAGATCATGCAGGATTGTTGCATAGGTACACACACGGCAATGTGGCTTGCTGCCTCCATCTCCCCTTCACCTATGTCTGGGATTTCTCCCTGTCACCTATGTCTGGGATTTCTCCCCATGTTATCCCTCTCGAACATCCCCACCCCCTGCTGTCCCTTCCTTGGCCTCCTGCAACAGACCCCAGTGTGTGATGCCCCCTTCTCTGTGTCCATGCGTTCTCATTGTTCAACACCTGCCTATGAGTGAGAACATGCGGTGTTTGATTTTCTGTTCTTGTGTCAGTTTGCTGAGAATGGTTTCGAGATTCATCCATGTACCTACAAAGGACACAAACTCATCGTTTTTTATGGCTGCATAGTATTCCATGGTGTATATGTGCCACATTTTCCCTGTCCAGTCTATCATCAATGGGCATTTGGGTTGGTTCCAGGTGTTTGTTATTGTAAACAGTGCCACAATGAACATACATGTGCATGTCTCTTTATAATAGAACAATTTATAATCCTTTGGATATATACCCAGTAATGGGATTGCTGGGTCAAATGGAATTTCTATTTCTAGGTGCTTGAGGAAGCACCACACTGTCTTCCACAATGGTTGAACTAATTTATACTCTCACCAACAGTGTAAAAGTGTTCCTATTTCCCTACATCCTCTCCAGCATCTGTTGTCTCCAGATTTTTTAATGATCGCCATTCTAACTGGCGTGAGATGGTACCTCAATGTGGTTTTGATTTACATTTCTCTAATGACCGGTGATGAGCATTTTTTCGTATGTTTGTTGGCCTCATATATGTCTTCTTTTGAAAAGTGTCTGTTCATATCCTTCACCCACTTTTGAATGGGTTTATTTTTTTCTTGTAAATCTGTTTTAGTTCTTTGTAGATTCTGGATAATAGCCCTTTGTTAGATGGGTAGATTGCAAACATTTTTTCCTATTCTGTTGGTTGCCAGTTCATTCTAATGAGTGTTTCTTTTGCTGTGCAGAAGCTGTGGAGTTTAATTAGGTCCCATTTGTCTATTTTGGCTTTTGTTGCCAATGCTTTTGGTGTTTTAGTAATGAAGTCCTTGCCTATGCCTATGTCCTGAATGGTTTTNTTGCTGGTTCACTCTAATGATTGTTTCTTTTGCCGTGCAGAAACTCTGGAGTTTAATTGGATCCTATTTGTCTATTTTGGCTTTTGTTGCCAATGCTTTTGGTGTTTTAGTCATGAAGTCCTTGCCTATGCCTATGTACTGAAAGGTTTTGCCTAGGTTTTCTTCTAGGGTTTTTATGGTGTTAGGTCTTATGTTTAAGTCTTTAATCCATCTGGAGTTAATTTTAGTGTAAGGTGTCAGGAAGGGTTCCAGTTTCTGCTTTCTGCACACTGTTAGCCAGTTTTCCCAACACCATTTATTAGACAGGGAATCCTTTCCCTATTGCTTGTTTTTGTCATGTTTTTCAAAGATCAGAGAGTTGTAGATGTGTGGCATTGCCTCTGAGGCCTCTGTTCTGTTCCATTGGTCTATATCTTTGTTTTGGTACCAGTACCATGCTGTTTTGATTACTGTAGCTTTGTAGTATCGTTTGAAATCGGGTAGTGTGATGCCCCTGGCTTTGTTCTTTTTGCTTAGGATTGCCTTGGCTATGTGGGCTCTCTTTTAGTTCCATATGAAGTTTAAGGTGTTTTTTTTTTCCGGTTCTGTGAAGAAGGTCATTGGTAGCTTGATGGGGATAGCATTGAATCTATAAATTACTTTGGGCAGTATGGCCATTTTCACGATATTGATTCTTCCTAACCATGAGTGTGCAATGTTCCTCTATTTGTTTGTGTCCTCTCTATTCCCTTGAGCAGTGGTTTGTAGTTCTCCTTAAAGAGGTCCTTTACATCCTTTGTTAGTTGTATTCCTAGCTGTTTTATTCTCTTTGTAGCAATTGTGAATGGGAGTTTGTTCGTGATTTGGCTCTCTGTTAGTCTGTTATTGGTGTATAGAAATGCTTGTGATTTCTGCACATTAATTTTGCATCCTGAGATTTTGCTGAAATTGCTTATCAGCTTAAGGAGATTTTGGGCTGAGATGTTAGGGTCTTCTAAATACACAATCATGTCATCTGCAAATAGAGACAATTTAACTTCCTCTTTTCCTAATTGAATATCCCCCCCCCCTTTTTTTTCTTGCCTAATTGCTCTGGCTAGAACTTCCAATACTATATGGAATAGGAGTGGTGACAGAGGGCATCCTTGTCTAATGCCGGATTTCAAAGGGAATGCTTCCAGTTTTTGCCCATTCCATATGATATTGGCTGTGGGTTTGTTGTAAATAGTTTTTATTATTTTGAGATATGTTCCGTCAATACCTAGTTAATTGAGGGTTTTTAGCATAAAGGGCAATTGAATTTTGTCCAAGGCCTTCTCTGCATCTATTGAGATAATCGTGGTTTTTGTCTTTGGTTCTGTTTATGTGGTAGATTCTGTTTATAGACTTGTGTATGTTGAACCAGCCTTGCATCCCTGGGATGAAGCCTACTTGATTGTGGTGGATAAGCTTTTTGACGTGCTGTTGCAATCGGTTTGCCAGTATTTCATTGAAGATTTTTGCATCTATGTTCATCATGGATATTGGCCTGAAGTTTTCTTTTCTTGTTGAGTCTCTGCCGGGTTTTGGTATCAGGATGAT